CCCCACCCCCGTGTATGTGAGTAATCATTGCGCATTTTCCATGTATTAGATTTCTAATTTTGTATGCGGGTATGTTGTGGATAAAAATCATAAAGCTTTTACTTGTTGCTGAAATAATCATCTTGGTTGTTTCTTGTAAAGTTTTCAGACCTAATCTTCACCAAGTTTATTTCCACAAAGACTTACGGCTGTTTTATACTTCCACAATACACGAGACAGTGGATCAGTGGCTACATCATTTCTTTTTCTTTTGCTGGGGATAAACCATCATAATCCCAAACAAAGCACTCCCAATGCAGCACATTATACTGTAACTACAGTATGTCAACAACAGTGATAGCTGGATAGATGTTGTTTTTACTCTATATGTGTGCCTCAAAGACAAAGACTGAACAGCGTATGATTTTTTTATTTTATTTTATGTAACTAAAAAGTCTTTTGGTAAGCTTTGAAAATCCTGTGGGCTACTAGACATTATAGCATAAATATGTGAAACAAACAAACTTATTGTAGCAGGTTTTTAACAGTAAATGTAGAAAAGGTGGTTCAAAATGACATTTAATAATATTTTTATATATGTTGACAAAGTCATCAATTAATTTGAAGAAAGATATACAGTAGTAAACAGATATAAACTCTTCACAGTGTTCTTATCACCTTTAATTCTAAATAGGCATATTTGCAAAGCATTTTTTCCTTGAATATATACGCCTTGCTGTACGTTTTGTACACCGTTGTGGAGCGAAAAGGGGAATTGTAAGTACACTTCATTTGTTAATCCTGTTAGCTTGATAACTTGAAAAAWAAGAGAAGCACCAACTTTCATTTTGGTGTGTGACAATCAAAAATTGTGTTGCCATGTTAAAATTTTAGATGGCTACCACATATACGTACATATATACAGTTTGTAAACATTCTGACCTAGATAACTTAAAAAATAAGCAATCCAACTTCCAGTTTGGTTTGTATGTGTATCTAGATGTAAGACTGGTCCCTATCAAAACTTGGGCTGTTCATGTCCAAATCCAAGATAGCTTTCCCAATGTAAACTGGCCACCTTGATCATTTGGGGAAACTATATGCTTTCTAAATTTTATATTGCTTAAAAGTATAGTTTCCTCAAATGATTAGGGTGGCCAACGATTAATCTATGGTGGCCATGGACACCTTTGACCACCCCTTGATTATGCCTTTGCATCTGGTGGGGAATTCACTTGACAGGATCCATCAGCTTGCACCACCTCGGACAAGCAAAAATAATCTACCTCTCTTCTTCTACAGTGTAACTCCTATCCACTTGAATATCTTGAATGAAAAACATTAAGGTTTACTTGCATTCACTGTTCAGTTTGAGTACAGAAAAAAACACTCATCCAGAAAACCACAAACAGTTACTATTCAAATCCTTCAGTGACGGGGGACATTGGCGTACCACTTGTTCTGCTGGAAACATCTAAAATCAGTAAAACACAACATCCATAGTCCAGAATTAAACTCCTCTTCCATTGATTGAAGCATATTACAAGAATCCAAAAACATTTTTACAGCACTTATTTGACCAAATGCATTTAGAACAGTGTAGGAGGACATAGTTTCTACAAGAAGACTGTAAAAACTGAGCGGACCCTGGTTGGTGCAGCCCACCTGCTGTGCTGTTCCGACACATGTCTCGCCACACATTTGTTAGTTAAAGATGCTGAGAGACTGCAAAGGGTGTTGAGCATGGAATAAGTTGAAGAAGGGCTGATGAGGGTACAGGAAAAGAGGAGGGGGTGAGGCAGAGTTTGGAGCTGTCAGTCCCATCTGTCACATCTCACTAGCTTATAGCCTGAGGTGAAGAGCTGGAGCTGAATGATGATCAACGATTATTCTTTGTGCCCTTTAAAGAGTTGGATCTTGGTGGAGCAGCTCTTTGTTATGCCAGAGGACAGGGGTGGGGGTGGGAGTGGGTTTGGGTGGTGGGAAAACCTTTGGTGCGCACTTCTAAAGGGTTTTTTTGTGAATCTGTGTACAGTTAAACTACGCCGAGTCCAGGCTGACCCAGCTGGAGGGCTGTCACTGCGAGAGGACCTGCAGCATCAATGGCCTCGTGTATCGAGACAAAGAGCTGTGGGTGGAGCCTGAAAACTGCAGGAACTGTGCATGTAAGGTGAGTGTGAACATTGGGCCTCATGCAAAAACATGTTCATATTCTTATCCTAAATTTCTCCTACTTTTGTTCGTACAAAGGGTTCATACGAACATGCTACGTCAGATTCAACAAACACTTCTATCTTCTGGAAATGTGCGTAAATGAGCTGCGTAATTTCCACCTGTTCGTATCCAGCTGCACGTGCACGCGAGAGGAGATTAGCATAATTACCACCCCAAAAACACCATATAAGGCGGTGTTTCCTTCCTCAGATCCAAGTGTTCATTCATGAAAAATGACAGCGAAAACTGAAAAAATAAAAACTCTACGAGTTCAGAGATTGAAGTCCGTCTGTCAGAGATCCAGAAAAGAAAATC